CACGCATCTTCAAAACCACGTTGGAAATTGTATCCGGCACTCCGGCAGCAGAGCAAAGGCCTGTGACAACAAACCGCTTTGACAGAATGCAACCGGCTACACATGCGTAATCTGTCGCTCATTGGTTAATTTAAACTTGGCGCTCCAAAAATCTGACTTCGCCTGCGCGATGTTGTCTCACTCTGTGTCATTGGAATTTATATAATGTCTACTCACTTTGCTTACAGGAAAAGGGTCAATTATGCTAGAATACGAACTGCGATTATTACTTCAATGTTAAAGACAGAAAACGTTAAGCCTTATTATAATCCGACTTTACGGTATCGATAAATTGTGCCAGAAAATTAAAAACCATATAATTATAGTCATAGGTTGCTTATTCTCAGAGTTTTAAGCCCGCTTTTATCTAAAGATTTAACTGTTGCTTTAAGACTAGTCGACTATAAAATAGTATATGATACTGGTTTATAATGAGGGATTCGTGAAATTTTTTACTCATGCTATAATCCCTCACATTATAAACTCGTTTAATAATTAAAAATACCAAATTTTGTGTGATAGATTATCATAATTTATTGTTACGTAAGTCTATTTTTTTACCAAACAAATAAATTTATTTTTATTAAATGGTTGTCTGTATTCTTTTGTGGAAATTGCTCTATTTTTAATTGTTTTTGAAAGAAATGTAACTCAGCCGAAACTTCCTTCTCAATGCATCGATGTTACGCCACTGCTAGCCCGACTACAAGTCGCGCATCTTAAGCCCCGCCCCTGTACCTTTTCGTGTTGAAAGCTGCTCTAGTAACCTAGATACGATGGCCAACATGTACACTATGCGTTTTGTTTTCCATCTTCTTTTACAGCATGGGAACGCAGGAGTATGATTTTGTAGGTCTTTGTTTAAACCTAGCAATTTACGATTTTGCGCAGTAAACCCTTAAATTCTGCTAGCGCAAGTCGGTTCTTAATTCATACAATCGCCGGTGTTTGTGTGTTTGTTAGTTTGTTCTAAGATATTTCTTAGGTTATAAAATTTATATCACGATTATAAGTTTAAATTGCATAGAATTTCTAAAAATGGGTTACAGAGTGTGTGTTGTATGCAAAGAAAGATCTAATAATTCTTTTGTTTCGCAAAAATATTACAAAGATTTTTAATAATCCCGACATGAACAATCATTGCATTTCTCAGGGATTACTAGATAATCACAAATTACAATTGATGAAGGCAATAGCGCAAATTTATTTAAAAGTCCGCTTGCATCACGAAGCAAAACTGGTAAATTTTGCTTCAAAACAGGCGAAAATAAGAAGTAAATTAGTAAAATACATTTTATTTAATAATGAGTAACTAAGATTACATTAAATCACCAATATTTAATAATAATGTTAATAAATTTATACCACAGCTGTACGTCTTTTTTCTTTTTACAATACGATTCTCTATTTATGTTAGAAACGTTCGTGGCAACAAAAACTTTTGACTGTAAGAAAATTGTATGATGTCATTTTTCAAGAGTTTCGCCGGTGTGAATGATAAAGAAAATGTACAAAAAAAAGGAAGTCGACAGTCAAATTTATTCCAACGATCTTGTCCGTGTAATATTTTAATCTTAACATTACAACTAATTTTGGAGATTGCTTAGAAACTTTTTAAGCTATGATTTTCTTTTATACCATTTTAATTCAGTGCGCCAAATTATCAACCAATGTTAACAGTCGCTAGAATTAGAAGAAGATAACACTAGTATGTAGTGCACATTACAACGAGTAAGAGAAAGACAGAGAACTGAAAGTATGTCGACACTATTTTCATACATGTTGTTCCACACTTTGCTGCCCATAGCCGTATCTAGGTTACTAAGAAATCTCTGGTTCCAATGCATAAGAAAGAGAAGTACCTTGCGTTGCGCGCCCTCATACGGTCACAAGACAAACGACCACCCATGAAAACGGGTCAGTAAAAATAGCGAGTTGTCCCTACTGATTGATTTCTATACTGTGCCGACACTGTGAAAGCGACTGTGTCAATCCCTTAGATCATATAATAAATAGATACCACCATGCCGCGTTCTTTCCTTAGGAGAGCCTGTGACGACATCCTCCTGTCACACATCTCTCTCGTGCATGGAGGGATTACAATGAAGCTATCCTTGCCTGATCACTATTTGAATTTTGCGCGCCTAAATTTTAGGAAGTATGTCTGAACTAATTTCGTACGAAAGATGTTGACAGCTTGATTTTATAAATAATTCACAGTAGATAACGAAAGGAATAGTAAATTATTGGGCAGCAATTGTGATCCTTTATGATTACATCACTTAAAATAGGATCTTTGTTCTAAATTCTAAAATTGTTTTTTGTACAACAACTCGAAAGAGAGGTTAGAAGAAACATCTGTCAAAAGCGATTTGTTGCGTTGGTGCGGTACAAGGATGGAAGTGAAATAGACATATACAGATGAAATGCATATAACAAAGATGAAGATGTGGTGATCACACAAGGATAGCATTATACTACTTCCCTTGACGTAGAAAACGACAACAGATAGCCTCATGTCTAGTCACAGCTTTCAGTTTAAGTATTGGTATCTATTTATTATATGATCTAAGGTCAATCCATTGTAAGTATGCAACCAATATTACACCAACTTATCTGTAGTAAAAAAACCACTAATAAAAAGTGAACTTGTTAGAATTATTGCTGTTTAATATTACACTACTAAAGAAATAGAACAAACGATGTTTTAACTCAAGAAAAAAAGTTAAATATATTATGCTATGCAGAAGACAACCTAAAATTGTCTTTTTTACACTTGATTTTGTAGAATTTCTTGTTCTACAAAATCAAGTGTGTAATTTTGGCCGAACATTAGTGCATACATCAAACGTATTGATGTGTGTTTTTAAAACTGAACATAGGGATTAAGCCCTTACTTACATTCATATGTTCAGAGTTAAAAAAATGACCCGGTAGATTAGTAATATTTTATATATTTTAAATAGGATTTATTCGACACAATTTTAAGGTGACGTCATCAATTTTTTAGGAGGGGACAAACAGATAAATTTTTATTAACGATTTACAAAGCTTGTGACCTTATAACCCTAGGAAGATGTTACAGTATTCGATTCAACAGTTTCAAAGTTAAATTGGAAAATTTTGATTTATTTTTAAAAATCTGGATGTTAAGGGGAAAAACTCAACACGGATTCATAAATCAGAGGTGCACGAGTATCTTGTTCTATAAAATAAAAAAAAAAAATTATTGCAAATTTTGGAGATGCCTTCATCCCATTGTTGGTGGGAATGATCAGACAAATTTTGGTCAAGGTTTTACCATCTAAACGATATCCCTAACATACATATAAAATTTGAAGACAAAAAATTGGTCGAAAGTTGTTTCGACAGAACTTCCCTCGTACTTAAAGTACAATGAACCATATCCAGCATTTTCGAGTTGAGTTTTTTCTTTACACCATTTTATGTTGACGTCTTCAACATGTTTGCAAAAACACGTATATCAACTTAAATTGATGCAGTGTAATACTAAAAATAATAGTACTGTATTCCCAAAATTTCCTGGGAAAATGGAGTAAGCCGTTCCTGATTTAATCAATAAAATAATTTGACGCATTCATTAATTTTTTGAGCCACCTGTTTAAGCAAATCTAAAAAATATGAATGCAATGATAAATCACAAGTAAAAATTCATCAACTTATCATATTTTTCACATTTTGGGTAGAATTTATTAAGCAATATTTTGAGATGACGTCATCAATTTTTTGAGGTTGATAAACAGATACATTTTCATTAAAAAGTTACCATGCTTACAATAACTTCAAAACGTCTGCAAGATTTCAGTTTTCCAATTCTTGATTTAACCAATAAAATAAATTGACTCAGTAATTAATTCTTTTAAGACACCCCGTATAACCAAATCTAAAAAATATTAATGCAGTGATAAATCACAAGTTAGTATATACTCATCATATCTTGCACATTCAGCAGAATTTTGAGGTGACGTCATCAATTTTTTGGAGGGATAAGCAAATATATCTTGATTAAAAATTTATTATGCTTATCATAACTTTAAAACATCTGCAAAATTTCAAAACAGTCGGGTTTGCGGATTCAAAATCAAATTGCAAAATGTTGTTTTATATTTTTTTTTCCAAAAATGTGGACGTTTCGGGTAAAAACTCAACACGAAGTCATAAACTACTATGTTATTTTGTACAATTTAAAAGCCATTTACTATGTACAATTTTGAAGTGACGTCATCGTTATTTGACAAATTTTGGTTAGCGTTTTACCATCTACATCATATTCCTAACATAAATACAAAATTTGACAACGAACAGCCTATTACTTTCGGAGATTATTTGTCTAATAAAAATCAGGGACAGACAGACAGATGGATGGACACACAAACAGACAGACGGAAACGGGAGACCGATTTCTTCGTACTCTAGCGGTCTCGAAAGGTCGAGAAAATGTAAGTAGAGAGTCGGCCGGCGGACTCAATTACAATACTTCCTTCGCTTACGCTCGGGAAGTAAAAATTAATAATAATAATCATTGTTCTTTATCATCTAAACCTCTGTCGTTGTTGAAGAAAAAGCAAAGGGAAAATGTATTTGAATTCGATACGTGAAAAAATTCGACATCCTAGAAAGAGTCTAATATGTCGATTCTCTTACACATTCTATCCTTTCGCAGCTACGTACGTCACTAACTATAGATAAATTTCGTACCCGCAAAACGATATATTTTCACAATCGAATACTCGATTATATTGTATATATACTGTCATTTGTTAAATTTGCTTGATAACCTTGATGACACAGTTTTTCAAATGTTTATAGTAACTGAAATTTCCGATGATTCTCAGTCACTCGAATGAACTGTACACTCGATCTATTTATGTCCATATAAAATAATCAGTAATACAAGACTTTTTCCTGTCATGAATTTTTCCGTGTCAGTTAGTAGTGATAGTGCACGTCACTAGACATAAAGGAAGTGTGAATAATATATACGATAAAATTATTTATGAAAACAAATTTCCACTTAAATCAGAATGCAGTGTAGAAAGTTAAATAGTTCTATAAGTGGTTTACTTACGTTAATTATTTTCATGCACAAACACAGTAAGTCTCATTCAATTTTTCGAAAACATTAATTCAAGTAATTTTATTTTAAGCTCATGGTTTGAAATGCTATGTCACAAATATCAGTCGTCAAAACGTAAACAGCGGAAACACAATAAAAACGGGGTTTGTTTTACAAGAGTGTACAAAGTATATACAAAATGCATTCAAAATCCAAGGCGAACGGCACGTGAAATTACCATCTAACATAGAATACAACTGCCACACAATTTATATTCACACAGGTACCAGTCAGACACGACACACACAAGACTACCCAGAACTATAGTTATTTTTGTTTACAGATGCAGCAGATATTAAAACGAAAGGATGTGTTCCAAGAGATGGTTGCAAGTCGATGACAAAATCTATAAAGCAGATGGTACTAGCGAAATCTCCTCTTTTAAAAGCTAAAAATATCACCTGCATTGAGTGTTCCTCAGACCGTTGCAATGATGACCACATCCCATCTTCTGTTCGTATTGGCAGTCAACTGATGGATGACAGCAATTCGTCTCATCATAATTTTATAAATTTTTTATTAACATTAGCTCCGTTGGCAATACTTGTTGGGACACACAACTGAACGAAATAAAAAAAAAATGTTATGTGAGACGTTAAGAAATTGCCGTTACTTACCACGTAATTAATAGCTCATTTTCTTAACGTATAGTGCTCCAACGAAGACAGTGGGTTCATGGTTTTGAATTTTCCAAGCCTCTCGTTTGCGAACAAAGAGAATCTTAAATTAAAGCTAAAGATAAGACATGTCCTGTTTAGGAGAAGCGTGCCAGTCAAATACACCGAAAAGCCGCTTTTAATTTTAAGCTGCATCATTTGTTGTCAAGGTGGGGGAGTCAAAATCGTAAAACCACTCCTCTCGTTGATCCATTATAATCATTACCCACATGTATTTACAGAGGTATAAAAATATGATAAGCACACAAATATCTCTGTAAGGAAACAATTTTCGTTAATAAATAGGAGTATAAATTTATTTCTTACATTTAAATGAAAAAATATATAAAATTTGATTGATGTCGAAATCATCCGTTGCCAAAAGCTGTCTTAAGACGTTATTTCAATTACTTTTCGTGATCATCAATAAAATACAACCCTATGTTTGTGTGTACATATTTGTTAAATTTCGGAATGTGTTCAAATGCACAATGGTAAGAAAATGACCTTAAATCAAAATGCAAAATATTTAGGACAAATTATTTATTTCTCCATTCGGACAAAATATCACAAAAGTTGAAAATCACAAATTCAAACACAAAAAGAAAGAACGTCATTAAAATAACTGAACTCCCATGAAGTTTACAATTAAAAATTCATTTGGGCAAATGCCACAAGACAAAACGTCAGTTTTGACTAAAAACAGCGCCACCAAATCTTGTGCTTTAAATTCAATAAAAATTCAAATCCTGTATTTCTCGAACTTAGAACGATAATTGAATAAGTATCAGAATTTATCAGGAACGAAGCAAGCAGAATTTAATTTCGCCACACTCTGTAAAAAATTTCATACAAGAAAGAATGTGTATGATGTTAAATTATAAATTAATTCAAGTTAATGAATTACATCGTGGACCGAAAGTAAATCCCATATCACAACAAGCACATATGAAATATGATCAAAATCAAAATAAGGTGATTCAGGAATAAATGTTTAAATTCAAGTTGTAAAAAAATAATTAAACTTGGAAGAAAATATTAAAGGCCTACCGTTTCCGAATCCACAATGATACTAATTTAACTGATGATAATTTGTCATATATAAATTATTGCCTAGTAATATATTGCCCATGTCTTGACAGTCTTGATAAATACCGTCTTCAAAAAATCCAAAATAATTGTTGTCGTTTCATTTTTGGTTTGAGGAAATTTGATCATGTGTCTCAGAAAATCTGTGAGCTTGGTTGGATGAAAATTGACAAATTGTTTCAGTATCACCTATCTATCTTTGCTTTCAAGTTATTTTCCTCTAACTCTCCGCCGTACTTGCGTTGTAAATTTCATACAAGAAAAAGTATGTTAAACTCAAGTCTTCCATTAAGGAATCTTAAAGAACTGTCAATGCCAAAGCATTATACATCTATCTTTCAGAGATCTTTCACGTACAATATTATCAAAGTTTACAATAAATTTTTATTAGAGTTTAATTCAAGTTCTTCCATCAATTGTTTTAGGAAAAAAATTAAAAAATGCTTGATTAATACTTAGGTTTAAGTTTATTATTGTGGTTCTCTTGCTTGTTGTTAACTTTTTGTTATTATTATTATTATTACTTGTATAAATTTAGTTTCTAATTATGGATTATTTAATTTAATTTAATTTAATTTAATTTAGATTTAATTAGTTTAAATTGTTTAATTTGATCATTACCTAGCTGACTCCTGTTTAGATATTTAATCCGTTTTTCTGTACAAACTGTTTGGTTAGTTTTATTTTCTTGTAAATCTAAGGTTAAGTGGAATAGCCTATGGCTAGACTTCGCCTATTATTATTTAATAAAGTCCTATTATTATTATTATTATTAATATTAATAATATTATAATTTTCAAGGTCCTTTCTTTCAAAATGGCAAAATACATTGAAATTTAAAATTAGTCTTAATTCCGGGAATGAATTGTTATAAATCTCGAGTGAGCAGTTATGAACTATGGATATTTTGATAACTTTTTTGGACATCTCAGGGATCCCTTGTAATTTATTTTTGAAGTAATTTCAAAAGAATTTTAGGGACTCCTTGTGTTTTCTGTTTGAAGTAGTCTGAAAAAATCTGGGAGACCCCTTGTGTTTTGTTTTCAGGTATGTATATAGTTTCAAGGAATCTCGGGGGACCCCTTGTGACTTCTGTTTTTGAGGTAATTTCAGAAAATCTCGGGGACCTCTTGGGTTTTATTTTTAAATTAGTTTGAAAGAATCTCGGGGACCGAATTTGTTTTATTTTTTAAATAAATTGAAAGAATTTCGGGGACATTTTGTATTTTATTTTTGAAGTAATTTAAAGAATCTCGCGGACGCCCTGTGAGTTTAGTTTTTGAGGTAATTTCAAAGAAACTTGGGGACTCCTTGGGTATTATTTTTGAAGTAGTTTAAAAAATCTCGGGGACGCCCTGTGAGTTCTGTTTTTGAGATAAAATCGAAGAAACTCGGGGACCCCATGGGTTTTATTTTTGAAGTAGTTTGAAAGAATCTCGGGGACCCTTTGTATTTTATTTTTGAAGTAGGTTGAAAGAATCTAGGAGGCCCCTTGCGTCTGGTTTTTGAAGTAGTTTAACAGAATCTTGGGAAACACGTTTGTTTTATTTTTGAAAATATTTTTAAGAATCTCAGACCCCTTGTGTTTGGTTTTTGAATTAGTTTGAAAGAATCTCGGAGGCCGAATTTGTTTTATTTTTGAAGTAAGTAGTTTGAAGAATCTCGGGAACGCCCTGTGGGTTCTGTTTTTGAGGTAATTTCAAAGAAACTCGGGGACCCCTTGAGTATTATTTTTGAAGTAGTTTGAAAAAATCTCGGGGACTTCTTGTGGGTCTTATTTTTTAAATAAATTGAACGAATCTCGAGGACCTTTTGTATTTTATTTTTGAAGAAGGTTGAAAGAATCTCGAGAACCTTTTGTATTTTATTTTTGAAGAAGGTTGAAAGAATCTCGGAGGCCCCTTGCGCCTGGTTTTTGAAGTAGTTTGAAAGAATCTTGGGAAACACTTTTGTTTTATTTTTGAAAATATTTTTAAGACTCTCATGTTGCTTGTGTCTGCTTTTTGAAGTAGTTTAAAAGAATCTCTATGACCAAATTTGTTTTATTTTTGAACTAGTTTGAAGAATCTCGAGGACGCCGTCTGGGTTCTTTTTTGAGGTAATTTCAAAGAAACTCGGGGACCCCTTGAGTATTGTTTTTGAAGTAGTTTGAAAGAATCTCGGGGACCCTTTGTGTTTTATTTTTGAAGTAGGTTGAAGGAATCTCGGGGGTCGAATTTGTTTTATTTTTGAAGCAGTTTGAAAAAATCGCGGGGACTTCTTGTGGGTCTTATTTTTTAAATAAATTGCAAGAATCTCGGGGACTCTTTGTATATTATTTATGAACTATGGATATTTTGCTAACTTTTTTGGACATATCGTTACTTAAAATTAAACTGAGCCTAAATAAGTTCAATTTCTTGCCATGTGTTTTTCGGGAACATTTCAATTATTCTTATTAAATTGCATTCAAATCATGAACATTCAAAAATCTGCACATGTATTGTGAATTTACTATCAATAAAATAAAAATAATATGTGATGAATTCGCCAAAATTTCACAACATCTCCGATTACAAAACAGCTAATTACACTCGTTATGGAAACGGTGGTGTCGAATTCGCTTCATTTTTGTATAAACAATTGGCTCTTCTGTTAAATTAGCAACAATAATTTACATACACTCTCCCCCATTTAAAAATTACAAGCGTTGTTCTACCAATTCCTTAGAACTGCCAACAGGAAGGGTGGCCATCTACTAAACTCTGTAACGCTCTAATCATGTATGCATGCATTATTGAATGGTCTTTCAATTTGTCATATGCGGTTTCATGGTGGTGCTTTTGTCAACACGAAATTTAATTTTTCAAATCAGGACACCACAACACTGTGGTGTTCCAGGTTAAATTAAAATTTCACGTTGAGGAGAAAAAAACCAGCGGCGCGAAATCGCATTTGAATAATTTGAAATTGAAAAATAAATTAAGAGAATAGTTAAATATAAGCAACCATGTGGAATTTTAGTTTTGGTAGCTCGTCTGGATAATTTGTTGGTATTAAGTTGATGAGGGGTTGATAGTAATGCATGGAAAGAAGACTCGTCACTTCTGGCGTACCGGTGCTAGTGTGAGCACGCCGTGATATACGTATGATAAGTTAGTTTGATTTGATAGTTTTATAAAATAGCCTTTGTTTAAACGAAGCGTAATTAATTGTTAATGGTTTTCTAATCTGAAAGATTCCACCCATGTTAACACCAGCTGTAAATTTTTGTTTATTGTGTGTAAAGTTACAGTTCTTGTAAAGATTTTTAACTACTCCTGGTTTAACACAATTTAACAGTCATGAAATTGTTCTTATAAACCACGTGCTAGGAAATTCAGGTAGTGAGCTTCACGTTTTTGTTTATAACTAAGGTTTCTGGAAGTTTTTACTTAAGTATTATATTATAACATACTTTAATTTCTCATTCGGGATTGCTAATAATAGTAATAGTTCATTTATCGTATTCAAACTGATCTAAATGTTATAAATTTCGGTCTCATAAACACAGCTTTTTAAATGCACACAATTCTCCAGTTTGCAACATCTTATCTGAAGAGAATTGATGAAAATGCCCACATTATTATGGTGGCGTGCTGGTAGATTTTTTTTATTGGCAGTCGGAAAAAGAACCCAAATTAATTCAACAATTTACAAGACGTGAAACGAGTAGCGCTACCGTTTCTAGGCCCTGTCTTTGACAGTCTCTTCGCACTAACGACAGCTACGTACAACCATGCCGCGGTGCCCCCGAAAACGTCCGCTATTGTGTCCGCTGGCACCTGCGGCAGCCGCTCCAAAGTTCCGCAACTAATATTCCATTCTCCGTGTGACTGGCAACACTGACTACCCCCGGCAGAATTTCCTTTATCACCCTCCGAATATCTCACGTTAGCGTAATCCGATATTGCGAATAAACAATCATAAGGCTAAATCACCACAAAAAAAATACATGCGTAAATATGGTCCAAATCACAAGACTGTCGTTCGGTACACATTTCATTATGAGAGGAGTGTCCGAATATGAACGTTCCAAAATTAGCATAACCCTTTCCTTCTTCGAATTCATGATAAGATTTACTTCATTGATAATGTTCAAAGAGAATCAGTGCTTAAAATTAAATCGTGAATGTTGCCAATTACTATTTTAAAATTCCCAAATGAGAATCTATTAAATTTAAGTAATACTTAGTTAAGTTAGGAAAAACC